CCCCGTCTCAGCTTCAGCAACATCAGCAGCGTTTTTAAAAGCCCCCGGTATTGTGCTGCTCCTGGGCAGGTTGCTCACAACAGAGAGTGAGAGAGAGGGAGAGAGGGGGGGGGGTACAAAGAAAAGGGAACACTTGGTGCGAGAGGCGCGTTAAAAGGCCGCGGTATCGGGAGTGGCGGTCGTGCGCTGCTTTAAGTGACACTGGATGAGAGAGAGAGAGAGAGAGAGGGGGGGGGAGTTGTACTGTATGAGGTCGCCTCACAGTTAGCCGACAGGTTTTCGCCGGTCTGTTACCTGGCGCGTACCTCCTCGTGTATCTCGCGGGAAAGAGCTGGCTGCTCTACGCTCTGCGCTGCTGCCGACATTGAGTAAAAGCTTACACCCGGAGAGAAGGGTGTACACGTCGCGTTGGTGTGAGAGAGAGAGAGAGAGAGAGAGAGAGAGAGAGAGAGAGAGAGAGAGAGAGAGAGATACGGGGGGGGGGCTGCGCATGGAGATTGGGAAGGAGAGCAGCCGTGAAATGGAACGCCGCGGTGGGAGGCGGCTGAACGCGCGTACCATGATTTATACTTTACGATTGTGATCGTATAAAACACATTGAATGTCAGCTTTTCGCGCAGAACACGGCGACGGTGAGATTGGCGGCGCGCGGCAGATTTTTTTGTGGGGGGGGGGGGGGCAACCTTTGTGGGACAAACATACCATGAGGAGAGCATAATCGTAGTTGGTCGGCAGAGCTGCTGCTGCTGCTGCTGGTGCTGCTGCTGCTGCTGCTGCTGCTGCTGCTGCTGCTGCTGCTGTTGCTGCTGCTGCTGCTGCTGCTGCTGCTGCTGCTGCTGCTGCTGTGGCTTGTGCAACAAGAGACGAAGAATTTTTTCGACTGTTCGAATTATTGTGTAATGAAATGTGTTAGGATGCACCACACCGATACATCCCAAAACATGTGTTCTCAATTCAAGTAGCGGACTGAAAATTTTGATCCCCACTTCTTGTTTTTAGTCCTATTTGTTCCTTAAAACAATAAGAAATGGGGCTCAAAATTTTAAGTATTATACTTGAATTGAGAACACATTTTTTGGGGGGGGGGCGGAGATTTTGATTTTACAGTGCCTCTATTCAAGCACGAATGAGTTGAAAAGGTACTCAAAATTAGATCCTTATTTTTAGTGAGTTTTTGAAGGCCCAATACACAAAACTCTTAAGCGGCTCGAAAACGAGTAGCTTAGCACCATATTCTTTTTCGGAATTTTCGGAATTTTCATGAGTTCGTGACTTGCACTCAGAAAGCCGTATCCTTGGTACGTTCAAATAATTCTCTTAAATGAATAAAGAGTATTTTGCACTTGATTTGCTTGAAGTATCTAATAAACTTGGACCCGAGTGCAAATGGTATACTTTACTTGGATCAAGCGTTTTTGTCTCGGTTTGATTGAAATTGCTCTCAAATCAAGAGAATTTCGCTCTAGCACCAAGAATACGGCTGTCTGAGTGTGCAAAACGACGCCCCCGTGCAACAACCGAATCCGAATTGCAAATTATGTCGTCATTCTCTGGAAAAAACTAATGTTACCGAGGTAACGTTTCTTGACGCAAACCAAACCAGGAAACGTTTGGTTATGCAACCTGTTTGTGATGGCCCTATCCGCATGGGGTAGGTTGCATCAGGAAACGTTCCCTGATGAAAAGTTAACGTTCTCTCGGTGAAATTAGTTTTTCCCCTGTTCCTTCCACCTCTGAACGGCAGGCGACGACAGGTGAAACTTTGAGTGCGCGCCAAATTCGAACGGGAACGGGCGCAGTCTTTGTAAAAACGGCGAACTTTTACCTTCGGGAGGATAGAGACCGACAAGGGGACAGTCTAATCATAGGGCAAAACTCGGGCGGTCAAGTAAGTGTGTTTAGGTGTTTTGGGGCGTCGCTCGCAGCCGTCTATAGCGACTGCCAGCCAGCCCCTTGGTGGTCTGCGGCACCACACCACCGGGGGGAGGAGGGACGGGGTGCGGGGTGTAGTCTGGAATGTTCCTCAAAGGGCAGCGGGCAGGGGTGGGGTGGGGTGAGACAGCACCCTCTGGCGCTGTATGCGTCCCCACGTCCGCTTTGTACGTCAAGGAAGGTGCAGGAATTTTAGTCAAACTTTTACGGTACAGAGGCAGAACAAGAAGGACGCACAGCACACATCCCTCTTTTTAGCTCGGGCCGCCTTCCTCTGTTTCCCTGTGAAGCTGTTTTGTATATCTGACTTCAAAGAAGTATTGCTAAGCAAGCGAAGCCCATGGTACGTCCTGGATAGACCCACGAGGACCAAAGGTCCTGCGGCTAGTAAGAATTTTTTAAAAATATTTTTCACGTTATGGTGAAATGTTTTGAGGAAGATATACACAAAAGTGTGGTGATGATGAACCCTGCCCAGTCCGACCTGCTCTTCATAGCGCTGTATAAGGCTCTATAAAGTTTCCGGAAAATTTCGGGAAGAAATGTAAAATTTCCCGGATTTTGGAAGTTTTCAGTTATTTTGCGTAATTTTCCGGAAAATTTCCGGGAAATCATGGAAATTTCCAACTCTTGTCCAACACCCCCAAACGCCTGGATCTGGCGTGAGCGACCCGGTCTGGGTCGCGTCGGCGTGCTGCTCTGCACCCCGGCTCTGCCCCGCCTCGCCTCGTCCCTCAGCCCCGGTGCGGTGCGGCGACGAAATAGACAGGAACTCCATCTTGGAACGAGGAGTGTAAACCGTGCGGAGGCCGTGTAGCCAGCGCACGTTTTATGGTCCCCCTCTCTTCTACCCCCTACCCGCTCCCCCAACTATGTCATCGAACGCATCTCTTTCCCGCAAATACTATTCAAATACACTGCAAATAAACCAAGTAAGAGTTGTAAATTTTCTAAAATTCCCGAAAAATTTCCAGGGCTTCCAACCCTAAGTCACTCACACAGTCCACTACCTCATTTCTAGTTTGTCACTGTAGTGTTCTTGTATAGGCCCTGGAAATAATTTTCAGGAAAATAAAAAAAATGGAAATTTCTGGAAAAATTGGAAAATTTCCCAGACTCTGGAAGTTTTCTGTTATTTTCCGGGAACTTCGGGGAATTTTTTGGAAATTTTCCTGAAAATTTTGACATTTTCAACCCTTATTCTTGTATTTTTTGCCTGATCCGCTTCGTAACGGATGCCGTTTTTTGGTCGTTTGTTCCAGGCCAGGTGCAGCCGCAGCCCAACGAGCCGGAGCCCGAATTCCTCCAGGCGTTGGAGAACATGACGGCGTCGCAGGGCAGAGACGTCCAGTTCACCTGCATCGTCGACCACCTCGGGCCGTACAGGGTGAGTGCGGGTCATTCCTATACACCACAAACTAACGGGAAAATTCCCTTGAGAAATTTCGTAAATTACTACAGTGTTAGTTCGTGTAATATCCCATTGACAAAACAAGTTGTACATGTACAACCTCTAACTTTTGCTCTTTTACACGATTCGAGGTCGATAGGCGCTTGTAAATTTATCAATTTTAAATTGTAATTGTGACATTTTTAATGGAAAAAGTTTCTGTACCCGATTCGACAATTTTTCACAGTGTAAAAACTTGTATCGAACAGTTTAATATTTTAATTGAGTCCCGAATCAAAATTATGAAACCATGAAACTTTTAAGCGTTTTAAGCATTGTTGTGACACGTCTTTGTTTCCCTCGTTTGGCAAATCGTGCACTTGCGAAAGCTGCACGTTCGTTAATTCCAAATCTTTGAAGTCATGAATACAAACAGTTAACTTGCGAAGATATTATTTTTACACGGTGACTTTAAGATTGACTTCCTCTGCGACCGGCCGTTATTTAAGAAAGCGAAGCAGACGGTATGTTTCCGGGAACGCCTTTGGAATACTCTTACGAGATAGAATGCGAGAGATAAGGAAGGACGGTAGAAGGAGAAGGGGGGAGAGAGAGAAAGAGAAGAGAGAGAGGGGGGAGGGGGGTACGAGAGGGTGCGGAAGGGAGAGCGTGTGCTGGCGGTGCGACTTACCCAGAGATTACTGAGGGGAATGAGTTAAATTAAATCATTAGTCCAAGCCGACCCTCCTTGTTAAATGGTTCAGAAAACTAACTTGTGTGCAAGGCGGAGGGTGTGGCGTGGCCGGGCGCGGCCAAGGTCTGCGGAGCCAGCAGGGTAGTACGGCGCCGGGGCCGGGGGCTCAGTGTTGGTCGTTTGTTTGTTTGTTTGATAATGTTTTCCGCGAATGGAGACACGGCGGCGGCCGCGGCGTTCTTCTGTCGAGCAGAAACTAAGTTTGTTGTGCAGACCGCCCCGCC